ACACACACACACACACACACACACACACACACACACACACACACACAGAAAACTAAAATAACCTGAGTGCTATCATGTATTAACATATTGTCATGGAATATACCTGATTATTGTTATACTTATTAATATGAATACACTCAGCATTGCAAAAGATATTGTTCATATTGACCACCTATTCCTGTCAAGTTCTCCCAACAGAGATAGCAATGTTTAGTCTCTAATTCTTAGTTTTCACAAACATTGGAAAAAAATGTAAATACTTTACTCTGGTGAAACTGTCGACCCTGGAAATAAATGGTGGAGAAATTGCAATGTTTCTGCAATTTTCTTTCGACAAAAGGAGGGAATTTGCCAAAATATTTTTATTTATTTTCGTCCCTTTATGGTGCTGCGGCCCTAATAAGTGAACTCCACTACGGTTTCTTGGACAGTAAACACGGATAAGATAACAATTTATATAAATTTTACAGACGGAATTATATAATATTTGTGTATGATTATTGTCAGCTGGTTTTTTGATAGTTTAGACTGAGTAGATATCTATGTAGTAGATGATTAAGTAAATATTATATAGCAGATAATTAGGTAAATATTATATAGTAGATAATTAAGTAAATATTATATAATAGATAATTAAGTAAATATTATATAGTAGATAATTAAAAAATATTTTATAGTAGATAACTGAGTAAATATTTATTTAGTAAATTAAATAGATATTTATATATTGGATTAAGCTGATAGCTATATAGTAACTTTAGTAGATATCTAGATAGTAGCTTAAAGTGATATTTATGTGATCGGGGTTCGAGTCCCGCTTACCAATAACTACTAATAATTATATACAACTCCGAATTAATTGTTGTTTAACAAATCACAAGAAGAAATGAAAAATACTTTTCATGTTGTTAAGCTGGACAAAGTTTGATGTAAACTAAGATTTACAAAAGAAAATTTTGAAGATGCAACCATTTGATTCTTAGTTTGATTCTTGTTCAGGACGAGAATTAGTTTTTGTTCGTTTTCCTGCACCTAATGCTTCTGTTTATCTAATTGGAAGTTAATGTGATTGGTGGTAATTCAATGCAAAATTGTATATGTAATTGTGATTAGGAAACCTGGGAGAGGAGTTACTGTATTGAAATAAGTTTGCTAGGAACTTTAGCATAATTAGACGTAGCTATTAGCATGATTAGACGTAGCTAAGACTAAGGTGACGATGATCAAGCTTACATGCACGTCTAGGTAAGCAAACATGCAACAAAAAAAGACTGACGGGTTCATTTGCAACTTGCTATCATGATCAGGAAGTCTAAGAGATATACAAGTATTAAAGCTAAAAAAAAAAGTCTCATTAACATAGAGCTTTCCCAAAGGCTTCCCCCCAACGAGGACAGCTTCCGTGAGATTACTGCCCTACCAGATATAGAGAAGAGTCCTCCGTATTCATCAGAGACGCTTCCTGCAAATAGGAAACTCTTGTA